ATCTGACTCTCCAACTTTATTATCTTTCAAGGAGACTTGTTTTCTTGTTCAATTACTCATCGTCCTTTATTGGAATGTACCAAACTGTATCTGAAACATCACAGGTAGATTTGTGAAATTTTGTGTTGTCTTGCTCCACTGCACCTTGCTATGTTTTGGCAGACAGTTCTACTCTGGTTTCTGTCATCATCCCCAGAGAAACCCAGCAATTTAATATCAACCTTAAGCAGACTAGCTGAGATTGGAAACTTATTAGATGTTGCCGATACACAGTTGTGTCTTGCTAACCTGCTATAAGTTTGCTTATAATGCTGCCTGTTTATAAGGCAAATAGATTATGAAAAATTCCATGGCTTCTTTTTATTCTTCTTTGCATTATGGACATCCCTATTTGCCATTGAACTGAGTGGATTTCTCAGCCATTCCATAGGACAGTTGAGAGACAAGCACATTACACCGTAAGATTAAGGAGCAGAAATAGGCCATTCAGCCAATTGAGCCTGCTCCACCATTCAGCAAGATCATGTCTATTCTGATAATCCTCAACTCCACTTTCTTGCCTTCGTCCCATAACCCTAACTCTCAATTCCCTTGCTGATTAGAAATCTGTTTATCTCAGCCTTGAATATACTAATGACCCAGACTTGATAGTCCTCAACAATAAGGAATTCCACAATTTACTACCCTTTGAGAGAATAAATTCCTCCTCATGTCTGTTTTAAATCAGTGATCCCTTAATTTGTGATTATGCCATTTGGTCCGAGAATCTCTCACAAATGAGATCATCTTTCCACATCTAATCTGACAAGTCCCCAACAATCTCCACTTAGGAACTCTGCAGCTTTCAGGACTCAATATTAAGTTCAACAATTTTACAGCCTGAACACCTTCTTCCATATTGTTTAGCTAGCCCCACATCCCAGACCCTGTTATCACTAGGGCTGCTTTCAGCACAGCCAACCCATTTTCAACTCATTATGGTCTCCATTGACAGCTCTTCTTTCTCCCTGGCTTACCATTATCCATCCCTTTGTCTGCCTATCTGTCTTTCTTTCTTCTGGATCCCATTTCCACCTATCGCATATTCCTTTACCACCTCAGCCCCAACCCTTGTCTTCAGCACATATTCCATCTTTTCTTAGTCACCATTGGTTGTCAGGAAGGATCACTGGATCCAAAATGTTAACTGTTTTTCTCTCCACAGATGCTGCCAGACCTGCTGAGTTTCTCGAGTAATTTCTGCTTTTGTTCCAGAATTCCAGCATCCACAGTTACTTTAAATGCCTGAAATCTTGCATGTTTCAATAAGGTTGCCTGCATACCTGAGATCAACATAATGAATTTTTTAAGCGCTGTCTCCAATGCCAGGATATTTTACATAAAAAAACTGTTCACAATATTCAAGGCGCAGTCTGACTAATGCCTTGTTTTCTTGGGGGTCAGGTAGCTGGATGGCTGGTTTGCAATGTAGTGATACCAACAGTGTGGGTTCAACTCCTGTACTGGCTGAGATCATCATGAAGGACCTGTCTTCTCAACCTTGGCCAAGCTGTGGTGACCCTTGGGTTAAACTCATGTCTCTCTGTGTGAGAAAGCAGACTATAATGACTTTAGCTTTTTTTCTTGGATGCCCAGTTTTGATTTGCTATATCTGTTTGAAATCTATCCCATTTACCCAGGTGCTAATGGCACACAACATGATGGAGGGCATCCTCAATGTGAAGATGGGATTTCATCTTCACAGAACCTTGGTCACATTTATCAATAGTCATGGATAGATGCATCTCCAACAGTAGATTGTTGAGGACAAGATCAAGTAATTCTTTTTTCCCTCTTGTTGGTTCCCTCACCACGTGCCACAGAGCTAGACTAGCATCTATGTCCTTTAAGACACAGCTAATTCATTCAGTAGTGTTGTTATCGAGCTACTGTTTGTGATGAAGATTGAACTCCCCCAACAGAGTACATTCTGTGCCCTTGCAACCCTCAGCGCTTCCTCCCGTTGGTGTTCAACAAGGAGGGGAATGGATTCAACAGCCGAGGGGTATAGTACGTGGTAATCAGTAGATTTCCTTGTCCATATATGACCTGATAACTTGAGACTTCATGGAGTCTGAAGTCAATGGTGAGGACTTCCAGAGAAACTGCCTCCTTACTGTATGCCACTGTGCTGCCACTTCTGGTTGATCAGTCCTATTGGTGCTGCAGACATATCCAAGAATGGTGCTGGCAGTGTCTGGGACATTGCCTGCAAAGTACTATTCCATGAGGGTAATTATGTGGGGCTTTTGCTTGACTGTTTGTTGGATTGCTCTCACAGCTTTGGCTCAAGCTATCAGTAAGGAGGACTTTGCAGAGCAGAAAGGGCTATGTGCTGTTTATAATTTTTGGTGCCTAGGTCAATGCCAGGTGGTCCATCTGGTTTTATTACCTTTCAGACTTCTTCTAGTGTTTGATACAACTAAGTGGTTTGCTAGGCTATGTCAGGGGACATTTAAGAGTCAACCACATTGCTGTCCATCTGGATTCACAGATATTCACTGATTCACAGATCAGGAAAGGATGGCAGATTTTCCTTCAATAACATATGTCAGCTTCTAATCTGGCTCAGCACTAATTTCAAAATTCTCACACCAATGTTCAAGTCTCTCTGTGCCCATTCTCCTAATTTGGCTACATGAAATTTTATTTGACAAATGCTCCTTGAGATTAGCATTTACTACCTTAAAGGGTGTATATAAATGAAAGTACATTTCGTATTATTTCTGCCGGTTCACAGTTTCCTTCCTTCTAGACAAGCTGTACCATAGTCCTGAAATCCATATGGCATCACCCATTGCCTTTTCCCACCAAGTTCCTTTGTGGCTGCGTTGAAGGGAACCGTTTGGTTAGATTGGCAGAATTTTGCCTCTATAATGACCTCTGTTGGAGTAAAGAGGAACTGCAGGAAGTGATGGCTGATTGAAACTTGGTGCTTCCCATCTTGGACTTAGGTCAAGGCAGCACACCAGCTTGGAAGCATGAAGGAACTTTTGTCCAATCATTTGGGGTTTTGCTGGTGGGGCCAGCTTTTATTTCCCACCCCTAGTGAGGTAGCGGTAGTGTGGTGCAGCTTTCTTTAGCTGTTGCAGCCCATTTGATGTAGGTACGACCGCAGTGTTGTAAGGGAGTTACAGGATTTGGACTCAATAATAAACTGAAGGAATAGTGATACATTTTCAAGTCAGGGTGTGAGTGGTTTGGAGGGGAACTTGCGGGTGGTGTGTTCCTCTGTGTCTGCTGTCCTCACCCTTCTAGATGGAAGTTGTTATGAGTTTGGAAGGTAAGGAGCACTGAAATTCTGCAGTGCTGTTTGCACATGCTACACACTGCTGCTACTGTTAATGTTGCAGGGAATGCATGTGGTGTTAATCAGGTGGACTACTTTATCCTCGATGGTATCATATTTCTTGAGTGTTGTTGGAGCTGCACTCATCATCAGAGGGGATATTCGATCACACTCCTGGCTTGTGCCTGGTGGATGGTGGACAGGCTTTGTGGAGTCAGGAGCTGAGTTACTTGGTGCAGTATTCCTAGCCTCTGATCTGCTCTTGTACCCTGTATTTATACGGGCTAGTCCAGTTCAGTTCCTGGTTAATGGTAACCCCCGGAATGTTCATAGTGGACGATTCAGTGATGGTGATGCCACTGAATGTGAAGGGTTGATGGCTGGATTCTTTCTTTTTGGTATGGTCAGTGCCCAGCATTTGTGTGACATGAATGTTGTTTGCCTCTTGTCTGGATTTGGACATGGACTCCCTCAGTGTCTGAGAGGTTGCAAATTGTGCTGAACATTGTGCAATCATCAGCAAACCTGCCAACTTCTGACCTTATGACAAAGCAGCTGAAGGTGGTTTGGCTTAGTATACTACCCTTTTTCTGGGGCTGAGATGACTGATATCCAACAACCACAACCATCTTCCAATGTGGAATGATGATTCCAACCAGTAGTTTGCCCCTGTCCCGACTTCCACTGACTTTATTTTTGCAATGGCTCCATTTTTGCAATGGTTCCTTGATGCCATACTCCATCAAATTTGGTTGGTTGTGCCATAAATTTTATACATTTTTCAGCATCAGGAATTTGGGTCAGGTATTCAAGACTTCCTAGACCCTGGAAATATTATCCTGGCTAATTCTGGGTCCAATTCAGAAATCAGCCAGCTTAACTGAATTGAGCCACTTAAAGTCTTGGAATTCTGAAAATTCACTAGAACACAACACAACTGAATAAAGGGTATGGGGGCAGGGGCCTTGTTGTCACTTATGTTTTCTTATGCCCAAAATTTTACCCCTGGTGATATTACTGCTGAACTTTCAATGTTTCAGCTGGGATCTGGAGTCTTCTCTGAAAAATCATACCGGGTCAGATTGCTGAAACCTTCACAGGCAGCATCAATGTGTGTAACATCGACACTGACTGAAAGATCTGGGCTATTGTTATTACATAGGTAGGCAATAAACCAAACCATGCTTGGTTGTCATCTGTGCCTCAGTAAGTAGCCCGTCACCTGGGACCCATGGGGTCAAGTTCCACTCTGAAGACTTGAGAACACAACCTAGTGCAGTAATGTAGGAGCATAGCATTGTCAAAGGTGCTTAGCTTTTGGCTGAGATAGAACAGAGAATATCTGCTCTCTCAGGTGAATGCAAAAAAGATTGCATGATTGCTCTTTGAACAGAGCGGGTGTTATGGGACTACTTTTTGTCCCTCACCCAGCATCTGGTCACAATCACATTGCTGTTTGTGGTTGCTTTGTGCAAACCTTAGCTGCCATGTTCCTTACATCACAAAGAGTCCACTTCTAGTACTTCATTGACTGTCAAGCACAGTGGGAAATCCTGAGATTGTGAAAGGTGTTACGGATATGAAATTTTTGTTTTTAAACTGATTGCCTTCACTGACAACAATTAGGTCAGACTTGGACCCGATCCTCTTGTATTAATTCCAATGCAGTGGGTAATTTGATAAATAATCTTTATTAAATGATCAGTGGGCAGCATGAGGGATTAACAAAATCAGGGTGTTAGTTCTTCAATTAACACTTTCTTCTCTGGTGGTCGCTTTCCTCCCCAGGCTTGTTCCAAATTCGATTTGGCTTCCTCCACTTGGACCAAGGAATCAAAGGTGTTCTTGTACTCATTCTGCACCTCCAAGGAGAGAAACATTAGCTTATCCCGATGTTCATTCACCCAGGACAGAAGGAACGCACACTTCTTCCGAGCCCGGTAATGATCAGGGTCCTTCTTACGTCGAGATCGCTTTGCTTTTCCCAGTGTCTGATGAAGGTGGGAGATTGCAGCCAAAGTGTAATGACCGTCCAATGCCCTGTTTCCTCCAGTTAACAGGACAGATGTGTCCTTGATTGTATTCACTGGCTCAAAGGGATTAGAAAAATACAGGCTGCTCCGCACTGCTCCAACCCCAGCCTGCACAGCCTCTGCAGTAGACACGAAAACACGACTGTCCTTCAGGGCCTCAGAAACTGTCACTGTAGCTTCGATAAACTCGTCCCTCATTGGTCCTGATAAGTCCCCATTCACCAGCTTCATGGAGAATGCATATGCATAGAGAACGTTCACCACACTGTATTGGATCAGGGGAGAGGGATTTGAACACAAACTCAGCAAAGGAACAATGTTACTGCAGATTGCAGGAATAGAATCATCATGTTCCCAGAATCTGTCTGTCGCTAGCTGTTCTGTGAATGCATCCATCTCTGAATTATTCTCCCTCCCAGTTCCTGCAACATCAACCACAGGCTGTGCTTTATTTATCTTCTCACATCTTCGATCTTCTTCCAGCCCCTTTTGAAGAAAATAAAACAATTTTTTTTTAAATAGTAGTGGTAAATGCTCACTAACTCTGAGTGTTGACTCACTAATACCACTCTCACTGCTGAGGATAAGTTCATGGTTTCAAGTTCACTCCAGAGAGTTTAGTAACATTCCTCCATTGTTTTGCTTTGTGCAACATTTTCAATCAAGTGTACAGGCCTTTTAATGGCCTTATTCAGGATCAAGAATCATTGAATCCTACAGTGTGGAAGCAGGCCACTCAGCCCATTGAGTCCACACCAACCCTCTGAACAGCATCCTACTCAGACCAAAACCCCCATCATATCCCTGTAATCCCCATGGCTAATCTATGTCGCCTGCACATCCCTGGACACTATGGTTAATTTAGCACGGCCAATCCACCTTACCTGCACATATTTGGATTATGGGAGGAAACTGGAGCACCAAGAAGAAACCCATACAGACACAGGGAGAATGTGCAAGCTCCACTCAGTTGCCTGAGGGTGGATTTGAACCTGGGTCCCTGGCGCTTAAGGCAGCAGTGCTAACCACGAAGGCCTGTGCCACCCCAAGGGAGAATTGGACTTGAAAGTAATCTCTAGACCAACAGTGAGGTGTACTGAAGAGGTGCTCCACTGTCAATTGGGCAAAACTAAGGGACTGCTGCACAGTCAGAGGGGTATTACTGAGACTGTGTTGCAATGTCCAAGGAACAATAGTAAGGGAGTGATGCTCTCGTGGAGGGTCACTACTGAGGGAGCATTGCACTGTCGGAGGTGCAGTACTGAGGGAATATTCCAAGTTCAGAGACAAACTAAAGCTTCTGCTCTCCCTAATGGATGTAATACATCATATTCCAGAGAAAGAGTACTTTCTTGGTACCCTGCCACCTCCTGGAGGCTACTTGGCATTAGAATGAGATTCTGACAGTGTGGGCTCAATTCCTGCATGTTGAAGTTACTGTCAAGGGCTCTCCTTCTCAATCTCTCCCAGACCTTCAGGTTAAACCACCATCAGTTATATCTTTCTAACGAAAGCAGCATAATGGTCTGGTAAGATTTTGGCAACTTTATCTTTACCATCACTGATAGGTATGGGCATGAAATGTCAATAGATTTCTCAGTAACTGTTACGTCTCTTGCATCTTCATCTTTCAGATAAGAGCCACTTTTTTAATTCATACATGGGAATGTGGGCATCACTGGCAAGGCCAGCACTCATTGCCCATCCCTAGTTGCCCAGAAGTCAGTTAAAGGTCACATGTAGGCCCGACTGGGTAAGGACAGTAGTTTCCAGATGTGTTTTTCCTGACAATTGACAACGGTTCCACAGTCATGAGGAAGAGTCACCGGACCCGAAACGTTAACTCTGTTTTCTCCTTCACAGATGCTGCCACACCTGCTGAGCTTTTCCAGCAACTTTGTTTTTGTTTTTGTTCCACAGTCATCATTGGATTCACTACCTGCCATGAAACTGGGTTCTCCGAATGTTACCTGGGTCTCTGGATAAAAAAAACTAGTGATAATACCACTGGGCCAATGCCTCCCCAATTAAATACAATTTCACTGAGATCAGGTAAGTCAGCACAGAACAGGTGACTGACTTCCTGACTCCTTTCTGTGTTTTCTCTAGGAACATGCTCTAATTTTTAAAAAAGCCACCAATTTATCCTGAAATTCTTAAAGCTCAAAGTTACTTTAGTTACTCTCCCCAGGGTCCACCCAAGAGTGAAAGCCAGGGGGACAATTCCTCCAGGGACAGGTCCCAGCTCCTGTCCCCACTGTAGGGGATGGGTGAGAAATGGGAGCTGTAGATTGACCTCCCAGACACTTGCGGCGCTGTTTCTCACCGAGGGTACCAGCTCCTGGACGGGGGCTGGGGGACGCCGTTCCCACCACGGCCTCCACTCCTTGATCCAGGCCGCGGCCTGGCCGCTCTCCAGGAGCCGCTGGAAGTTGTGTCGCTCCTCCTCGCTCAGGGAGTTCCAGAGCCGGCTGGCCGTGTCGCCAGGCTGCGGGTCGTCCGGCTCCAGCTCCCCCAGTTCCCAGGCCTCGGTCTGCCGCAGCCGCCTCAGGCTCTCCCGCAGGCCCGTCCGACCCTCGGCGCCTCCCACCCGCCGGCTCTCCTCCCGCAGCTCGCCCAGCACCGCCTCCCGGTAGAAAGACTCGGCGCACACCCGGTGCTTGGAGCCGCGGTAACAGGGCAGCGAGCAGAATGGCACGTTGCAGCGGGGGCAGGTGTAGCGGGCGGCGGCCCCGCTCCCCGAGCACAGGCCACAAGCCTCGGCCTGGCGTACCGGGCCCGCCAGCGACATCTTGACGGATACCGGCACTGCCGTAAAGCAGCGCTGCTCCTTTGCGGCAGTACTGCCCCCAGTCTCGGAATAGGGGACTTTCACCTTCACGTCAGTGCCGTAATCCGAAAAAGGGTGGCGAATGGGTGACAGTTACCCTTTGATACTGTGGCACTCCGACTCCCTTGGATAGAAAATGCAACAGGTCATGTTGAATGACAGTTAACTACCAAATAGAAAGCGCTGGATAAACTCAGCAGGTCTGCCAGCATCTGTGGAGAATAAAAGCGTTAACACTTTATGTCCAGCGACCCCTCAATAGAACTCCATAGTTTATTGTTGTCCTATTTTAAATCAGTTGCTAAACTTTGCTTGAATTTTAACCAAAGCTTTAACTCCAATGGTCAACTTTGACAGACTTAACTTGATTTAAAACAAACAAAATCAGATTCCTGAAGAAACTCAGGAGGTTGGACAGAATCGAGGGAGAGAAAACAGAATTAATGTTTTGCACCCAGTGAACAGTCTGAAAAAGGGTCGCTGTACTTGAAATGTTAGCTCAGTTTTCCTTTCATAGATGTTGCCAGACCTACAGCAATTTGTCTGTCACTTTGTTAGAAGTCATTAGACACCAGATTATATTTCAACAGGTTTATTTGAAATCACAAACTTTCAGAGCGCTGCTCCTTCATCAGGTGAAGTGGAGGGAGCTGTTATCTAGCATCATAGCAGTACTGAAATTCACGTACCAGATTACTCATTTGTGTGAAACAACACAAGAACTAGGAGCAAGAGGCAATACAGACCCTTGAGCCTGCTCTGCCATTCAATATGATCACAGCTGATTTCATCACAGCCTTAACTCCACTATCCTGCCTCCTCACCATAACCCTTCAACCCGCTTCCACCATGTTGCAGCACATTAAAGACCATAACTCAATGGTTAAAAATACTAATCCTGTCACCCCTGGATCCTTTGCGACCCTGTTTCCTTTAGTTACTGACCTGCTTTCCACTTTCTCCTAATTCCACCAAAACCATTCATGATTTTGAATATCTGTATGAAAATACCACCAAGCCTTCTCTTTAAAGAAACCAATCCCTGCTTCTCTAAATAAAATAACTGCAGATGCTGTAAGTTTGAAACTCAGCAGATCTGGCAGCTTCTGTGAAGAGAAAGCAGAGTTAACATTTTGATTCCATGGATGCCAGACCTGCTAGGTTTCTCCGGCAATTTGTTTTTGTCCTTGTTTCTCTGAACTTTCCATATACTGAATTCCATAATCCTTGGTAAGGTTATCTCCTCTGCATGGTTGTGAAGGTCTTCACAGCTTTCCTAATATGTAATGCCTAGAGTTGGACATAATATAAAATACTGAGTGATATCTAGCTGGAGTAAAGGTTAATCCAAATTCCTTGTTCTCATTCCTTCCTGTATTAATAAATTTGAAGTTCTTTAAACATATTACGCCCTGTCCCTTAAAGATTTGTGTACGTACACACCAAGGGGTCTCTTCCTGTACCCTCTTAAAAATTGTGCTACTTATTTTAACTCTCCTCCCCCTCCATACTAAACCTTATTCCTTCACCAACACAGTACATTGTGACACTTGGGTTAAACCATAACTAGCCCTGTGGTCTTCTGGGACTTTAGCAAATTTACCATTATATTGGGACTTCGATATGCTATATCACTTGCCCTGAAATACCAGTACCAGTAACTTCTCTCCTATTATGACTTCTGTGGAAAGAGTAGCTTCGAGAAAGTCCACTTGGTTATCTTGAAGGATTTTCTGTTTACCTTGTAGTATCCTGGTTCTGTGCAGACTCCTTTTGCCTGGTTTGTATGCAGATTTCATCCTGTCCATGGGCACACAGGAAATTTCTCATGGCAACAATAATAGCTCCTCATTGCCCAACACTCACCTCCCCCACCTTATTGATTACTGTCCCACACTTCTCTCCAATCACTTCACCAACCTGGGTTCGGCATCAACAACAAACTTGACACCAAACCAATGTAAAGCAGTTGATAAAAATATAGGAACGTACACTAGAAACCATAATGTGTGTGTTTTGGACACATGGCTATGCCTTTACTCAACGAAGTTGGACTTCTGTACCTGGACTAATAACCCAGAGAGACAAGTTCAAAGCCCATCATTCGTTCATAGTAGAGAGGGCAGAGATGGGATCTTGGTTTAACGTCTCATCCAAAAGACAGCATATCTTAAGAGTGTGGCACTCCCACAGCACCAAGCTAACAATGCAGTATGCCCTCATTCTTACACTGGGGAGATGTGGGCATCGCTGGCAAGGATTTGCTGCCACCCCTAATTGCTCCCAAACTGAGTGGCATGCAACACTATTTCAGAAGGCAGGTAAGAGTCAATCACATTATTGTGGGCTTATCGTCACATGTAGATCAGAACAGAGAAGGAGCAGCAAGTGAACCATTTAGGTTTTTCTGACAATGATAAATTTCACAATCACCATTACTGAAACTAGTTTCTATTTTATTAAATTTAATCAGCCACTGTGATGGGATTTGAACCAGTGTCCACGGTATTAGCCTGTTCCTCTGTTTACTAGTTCAATTATGTGAAGTAACCATTTCCCTCATCACGGACAGTTTCAAAGTTTGAATTTAGTTGTTTAAACATCTGCTGTCTATATAAAGTTACCACAAAGTGATCATGGATTACTTTTAAAACCCTACCTGATGTTCACAATGGACATACAGGGAAAGAAATCTGCTGTCCTTGCTCTGCCTGAGCCTGTGGGTAATTTGGAAACAGTTGTGGATTGAAGTCCCACTTCAGAGACCCCAGGGTAATAATGAGGGAGTGCGGCACTGTTAGCATGGTGTTCTGGGAGCGCTATAGTCTTTTGGACAAAATGTTAAACCGAGGTCCCATCTTTACTCCCTCCGCTAGATGTATAAATGTTCACTTCCACTATTTAAAGATGAGCAAGGGAGTGTTCTCTGGTGTCCTGGTCAATATTTATATTTTAACTCACAACCCAAACAGTTCACTATTTCCTAGAAGGTTCACTGACTGATACCTTGAATCATCGGCAGACATGGTATCTTAAGGTGAAAGGGTGACTGGTCTATATCCATTACAGTTTAGAAGAATGGGAGTTGATCTTACGGAAATGTGCAAAATCCTGATGGGTCCTGACAGAATGGATGCTGAATGTTTTTCTTCATAGGAACAAAATAAGGAGTCTCCCATTATAGACGGAGATTAAGAGCAACATTTTGAGGGTCAGGAGTTTGTGCCAGTCTCTTCTCCAGAGTGACGGAGGTGGGGTCATGGACTACCTGTAAGGCCTGTACAATACCTGTAGATTCTTGACTCATGAGTGTTGACAATTGACAGGAATGTGGATTGGAGGCTAGAATCAGATCAACTATAATTATTAAAGGACAGCATAGGCAAGAGGTTTGGACTATGGGGTGAATGACCCAATCATGCTCCTCATTGGTATGCTATTTGTGGGAGGTCTCTATGCAAAATTGATTGACAAGTTTCCTGAGTAATTACTTAAAAAACATCATTGGTTGTGATAACACAGTGTGGAGCTGAAGGAACTGTGTTATCTCGGATTCCAGTGACTGCAGTTCTTGCTATCTCTCACTGGTTGTGATACACTTTGGGACCTCTTGAGATAGGTAAGATACCATTAGGTTAACACAGAAACTGGAATAACAGTCCAAGTTAAAGTAAGGGGGAGGGCATGTCTGGCCAGTTGTACAGTTATTATTTTAAACTTTGATTTCCAGGTCTCTCTGATTTATAGCCACAGCACAATCAGACAAATACAGTATTACAAGGATAGGGATAAGTTTGATACATCAGAATATGGCTTTACAAAGATATTTCCAGGATTGGTAATTCTTTGGTATTGAGAGGAAAGACAAAACACTGATCCAAGATTCTCTGTCCAAGTGAATATGATTTGTGCTTTTGTAATTTGATTTATAACCAAACATAAACCTTTGAATGCTGTGGGCTGGTTTCTCAGTTGATTAAAGCAGTGTTTAATAATAGATGGCAGTTCAGTCTTTGTATGCCATTGTGTAATCATGGATTGGTCAGACACAGAGGATACAATATGAATAAAGAAAGAAAAAGCTGGCTAAACAGGGATTTTATTTTCACTGGAATGGGCATTAAGTCTTATGCCTGCTACCAACTGCGGAAAGAATGAGTTTGTGGAAAGGTTAAAAATAAAGATTAAGAGTTTCAAGGAACTGAGACATACATTCTTTATCCCATGATTTATTTTTATTTGCAAGGGGAATGTGGATATTGCTGACTAGGCTAGGATTTACTGCTGTTTATTGTGGAAGATCGTTAATTGGACACACGTTGCTGTAATTCAGTTTTGGGGTATAACCGAAAACTCGGACTTTCTCATTAAAGAGAAGTGAGCTGAGGCTGCAGCAATGGTGCACATTCATGGCTTTCACTCAAGCATCACGCAAGTAAAAGCAAAGTACTGCAAATGCTGGAAATCTGAAACAAAAAGCAAAAAAGTGTTGAGAAACCTCATCAGTCTGGCATCATTGAAGTAACACAGCTTTTAATTGTTCCTGGTAAACTGCTACTAAAATACTGCATGCAGTAATTCTCTCATTCTTTAATAAAAGTCCTAACTGCTACAAAATGCACAATCAGCTTCAAACGTCTGGACGGCCACTCCAAAGAGATGTCAAAATTATTACAGATGCACCAACAGATCTTTCCCATCTGTTAATTTTTGTATCCAATTCAATAAACGTTTCAGGCAAACAGAGCTCCCAAATAGTGAAGAAACACAGATATACAAACCATTTTAATATGAAAAAATGCACTTTTTTTTTGCAAAAGATAAATGCAACTTTATGTACAAGGATTGAACATTGAAGTAAATACAATGCCAAAGGCTGGCAATGTTTTTTGACGTTGTAAGATTTGAGGTTGATCAGAGTTTGCAGAATACCAGATCAAGACATTATATGTTCACCCATCCACCATGAGAAAGTTTCCGAACAAATACAACACTAACATCAACTGGTGTCTTTCTTGAATGAAGAATCTCAGTCCAGATCTTGGCAAGAGATGGCCCTCTAGACAAGTCATTGGATGTAAGTTGTGTTGGGATGATTGACAGCCATGACAAGTGGTTTCATTTGAGGTTTAGTCCTGCCAAATTTTAAGAGTGACATTTACAGGTGCCAAAGTTTTGTTTAATGACACTCCAGTGAAACACCTAAGATGCACCTTTAGGTCTATTTATAAGATTACCAGAAAATATGAGAATTGTTTTTTTCCCCAGAATTGAATCTGGTTGGAGACACTTCAAAGCAAATGTTTCAGTTTCTCATTAATCCCAATTATGCTCCAAGCTCCCGATACCCTTCCCTCCCCCCACAACTTATTCAATTGTCAAACCGCTACACAGACTTCAAGAGTGTAAAATATAAAATACAAAAATTTTGATGTGGTGATCTGGGTGACATATAAGTGGGCAGCAAGTATGTGTCAAACTGTAACATGAACAAATACCTTCAGGAAAGGAAAAAGGGAATCAAAACAAGTTAGTCAAGTGTGAATAACTATATTCCAGATATCCTATCATACAAGAACATATTTTGTACAAAACAAAAGATGGACGAGGGATGATAATCTACACAATAACCACATTAATAATTTGACATATTAGAAGGATGCAACATCCCATATCCCGGCTCACGAAGAATGGGAACTGAGAGGATCAGGTAGGAAGTGATGGATAAAAACAATTGATTTACATATTGTACTGACAGGTCCAATAATCCTGACACCACAGCTAGAAGCAGTTGTGACAACACAACTGGAACTTCCCACAAGCTACTGGTTGTCAGAAGAACAGCGTATTCAACAGTGGCTATAAACATCCTACAAAATCTTTGTACTTACTGTGCCTTTTCTCATCTCTTCCAAGCTTTGGTGCCCAGTATGGCCTGTGAACTGCAGTTTTATTACTGTAAAAGGCACTTTAAAGATTCAGCCAGATGCCATGTGGAAAAACCTACTGTCTGCATGCCACAGCTGCCCACTGAGCAACTCTGACCAAAAACAAAACTCTCTTTCTCAGTTAAAGCAAAGGAACCTCATTCAGTAATCAAGTCATAATTTTTGACTCCAAAACCAAACAAAACAAAAGGCGTCGATACTGGAGCTGAGGAATTGCTTCTTGCGCTTTATGGACAGGTACTGACCCACAAGCCACACTCAGGATCGGCTTTCTCTGGTAGGAAGAATGGCAGTAGGCAGTCCTTGTCCTCTAAACCCTCGAGACACAGCACCAATCTGTGTGGCTTATGGTAGTGCAGTTCACCCGTGTGGTGCGGTGCTCTGCCTATTAGTCCTGAATGTCTGCTCCAATTCATGATAGCCAGCAATCTCATATTTCCACATCGCTCTCCTTGTCATTATCGTGGTCACCATCATAAAATTCATTTGCAGCTTCTGGCCTAGAAAATTCATGGACACACAGAAATAATCAATTCTTCCTTCACTTTAACTTGTATCATTTATACAAATACTAAAACTGTACAAATAACACTACGTAAATTGCTACTGTGTATGATTGTTAGGAGTTAGAAAGTACTGCCCAAAATAGGAGTGGAAGATGATTTAATAACATTCAAATGATAATTGTGTAAATTACTTGAAGGTGAAAATTTTAATCAGGCTAGGAGGAATAACTAGCCTCCTTCTATACTGTCAGAATTCAATTCTATAAAATGCTGAGCATGCTACCCATTTTAGTCCATAACCTTAGTATTTAAAGCAGACCGTTCTCCCCCAGTACTTTTCATTGTCCAAATTTCCTGATCTTTAATCAAGTACCAAAGGATTTAAACCCTTAGTCACATTGAGCAAAATACACAGAACAGATTGGGACAATCTGCCATACCAAAGGTGCTGACGTGAACTCTGGCACAGTACAACCTACCTATTATAGTTGTCCTCTGACCCACGCTCCTCTGGGTCAGGCTCGTCTGTCCGTTCGTAGCTCAGTAAGTCTGAAGGCACATCGTGAATCTGGACACTGGGAGCATGATTCAACATTTTCAGGTTCTCAAAGATGGTCTGCCTGATCTGATCCAGGTACTGAAACAGAAACCAGGGAAACCTGACATTAGAATCATTGAATCCTTCAGCTATGCATCCATTATCCAGTCTACCCTTGCAACATGATATCCATTTCCCCCCTTGTGCCTCTTAGGCATCCATTCATTCCAGCCTGGGGACCAGCCACCTCCAATTCTGCACAGCATCCCATTTTGTGCCAATGCTCCATTCTCTTCCATTTTGGACCAGCATTCCCATTATTCCTCTTCCTTTTCTCTGGATACTTATTAAACAATTGGGGGAAAAGAAATCTTTCTAAAGCTTGATTCTATATTCTTTCTACAAGGACATTCTGTTTACTCATAGCCCTCAGTTAATTAAAAGGCCCACTGGCTATTATACTTTCAGAGCGTGAATATCAGAGACAAGGACAGTACTTAATGTCCATCTCTTGACATTCTGTGAAATGGTGATAGGTTGTCACGCTGAATAACTGGTGGCAGGTTTGATTCAAACCAAAGGACTTTCTGTTCTGAAGTTCCAGTTCTGAAGAAGTGTCCTGACCCAGAACGTCAACTTTGCTACTCCTCTGATGCTGCCTGGCCTACTGTGTTCCTCCAGCTCCATACTGTGTTGTCTCTGACTCCAGCATCTGCAGTTCTTGCTATCTCTGAGTGATTTATAACCCCACTGCGAAGCCTCTGCCCACCTTGAAGCTGCTGTCCTCTTCCCTCTGGAAAGACCTCAGTGGATCTCTCTCCCACTGCAACCCACTGGTGATCTCCTCTGCCCTGAAGCTCTTTGACCACATACTTAAACAAACCCATTACTACAGCCACATCTCTTTTCTAAGTACCTGCCTACGCAGCTGGATCATTCCCAATGGACTCCAAACAACATTCAGGCCATCCCAAACTGGCCCAAACAATGACAACTACTACCTAAAGTATATTCAGAGTCTCCAAAAATGGTTTTCTCTGCAGACCCTCAGCTCCACGCTCTCAGCAATGCGCTGGCATCTCCTCACACTACAGCCAATCCTACCCCAGCTCAGAGCCTCCCTCTCCCAGACCTATAAGGGACCTCTTCTGTTTTCATTCTGCGCAGGATCCACATCCCCAACCAACGCTTCTTCTCCAACCTGACATCAAGGACTGTAAGTACACTAAACTTGCTTGTGCTTACCACCAAACACAGGCCTCCTCCACCAGCCCAGAACCCAACCCTATCCAGGACCTCCCTCTCAGTTTGCCCACCGCCATAAACCATGCGGTTGCCTCAGCCTCTCCCGCTGACGCCATTGACTACATCACTTCTGCCGACATTGTCACTGCCACCACTTCCACTTACATGACCATCCCCATACATACACCCAATCGCAAACCTAGCCCCAAGCCCTGTTGGGTACTCACCATGCCCCCAGACCTCCCCCTCACTGAGGACAAACGGTCAGTCCTCAGCAAAAAACTCATCTTCATTCCCCCTGTGGCCACACATCAATGAATTCCGTTCACATCTGGATGTCAAACTCTTTTTCCACCGTCTCCCTGCTTATTTCTTTGACTGGGAATCTAATCCACCCTCTGCAGACCCCTTCTCCCGCCTCCAACGAACCTCATCCTTCTGGACACCACCCCGCAGCCTCCTACCCCACCTCAAACTCTTCATCTCCAACTGCTGTCGCAACCTCGCCCAGTTCTGAAGAAGGGTCCCCACTTGAAGCGTCAACTTTCCTGTTCCTCTGATGCTGCCTGACCTGCTGTGTTCCTGCAGCTCTACACTGCGTTCTCTGACTCCAGCATCTGCAGTTCTTGCTATCTCCAAGGGACTTTCTGGTCTACTTTAGACTTAAGGTGCAACTTTGTTGGCATGGTATGTAATCCTGTTCTGTGTCTGCACCAGGAATATTTTACGGGGACTGTGTAGAAGGAGCTTTATTCCTTATTTAATCTTGTGCTGTACGTGCCCTAGGAGCGTTTGATGGAAACAGTGTACAGGGAGCTTTACTGTGTCTAATTCATGCTGTACAAGTATTTGATGCTGGCACTAGGTATCTGAAAATTGGCAGCATAACATCCTTCAGCTTACCAATGTAAAATTAATTAAATCAAAGTCCCAAACACCAACTGTCATAGATGAAAAAGGCTTAGAAATACAATGTGTAGCTTATGTTCAAAGAGGCCCCGACTAACCTGCCTGGTGTTCTGGTTTTCAATCCTGGTGCTCACGTCTGGGTGAAGCGTGAAGTCGGGAGCAAAGTATTCAAAGTATTCTGAGAGAAACAGCAACATTTTCAAATTAATGCCACTGAGTATCAAGATAGCACAGCACAGCTCCCACAAAACTTAATGCTGAAAACTAATGCCATGCCAGCATTATACAGTGAACAGACCTTCAATAATGGATGCTGGCACATCATTCAAATTGGACTGGGTTTGGAACGAACTCAATTGTCATTAGTGTCTTCAGTCATTACACCGACAGCTGAACAGACAGCTGCACTGTTGAACCACACTCCTGGTTCAAAAGAGATAAAGTGATTTCTCCATGAGAATTAAAAAGTAAAAGTCAGTATTTGATTATTCTCAAAATAACAAAAAGTCACCAAGTGACTACTGAGCCAAACTGGGGATAAAAACACAACAGAATTAAAATCAAAAGAACCAGTCTCAAACAAGGTTCACCAAATACCTGTGAAAATCATAATGTGCAGTCATGTAATTGAGGACACATGGTCAATTTTGGGACATGTGCATCGCTAGCGAAGCCATAGTTATTGTCCATCCTACACTCCTCTAAGAATGTGATCATGCTGCCTCCTGGATTGGTGCTACAACAAGTGGTTTACTTCAAGGAAACTGAAGAGTCAACCAGAGTTAATGTGTTTAAAAACAACACAACGGAAGCTGAAGTAGACCATATGGCCTCGAGTGTGCTCTGTTTATTCATACTACTGCATGGCTCCACATTCCCATCCACTTCTCATAGCCCCTTAATTCTCTGCGACTAATAATATCCATAGCTGCCTTAAATACAATCAACGATACAGCACCTACAACCATTTGGGGTGAAGAATTCCAAAGGTTCACAGCTCTTTGGCATGGAAACGAATTCTCCTTAGCTGAGTTGTAGATAATTATCCCCCTCATCCTGAGACTGTGCAACTGTGTTCTGGATTCCCCAGAAAAGGGAAACGGCCTCTCCATGTCTAATCTGTTAAGCCCCTTCAGAACCGCATACGTTTGAATGAGTTCCTCTCTCATTCTTCTGAATGTCAGAGAATGTATTCAGTCCAGAAAGAAAAGAAATTCCAAGTGGAATTGGTTTACGTGTTTTGGGGAGTCATAATGACATAGGATTTCTTTTTCTAGAACAATCTAGTGTCTAGTTGTTGAATACAAATTCACAATTTTTGTGGGATTTCAGTTCAGTAGCTCCAGGATGCAAAAAACATTTCATGAACATGCCAGTTTTAGTTGCACACAGGAACCAATATTGTTCCTTTAGATGGTCCACAGATAGAGTTTGGAAATGAACTCACCGTTATAAGGCAGCTCATCGCTTATCTCTTCATCAACAAGCAAAGAGGTTTCAAAAGTCCTACGAGAGACATTAAAATAATAAGTTGGATTCCAATAAGCTTCCCCATGCATGGTAGCCCAAACCAATTTTTCAATGAAACTCTGTGTGCTGTTAGCTAAATTTCTCCCAAACTCTACTGAATGCATCGACTCCATGCTTTAGTACGTTCCTGCAGGCACCGAATGTCTTCCAGGATCCTAACCAAATGTGGCAACTCAACAGTGAATTAGCTGATAGGCTATTCTACTTTGAATGGATGGTCACATCACATCCTGTCCGCCAGCGTACGCTGTCACACACATTCTCAGCAGGAGCCGCAGGATCATTGATCTAGAACAGATAACATGGCCAATTTCCACACCTGATGCCAGCATCAATAGTAGCAGCCCAAGAGTTCATAGAATCTTGCAACACAGCGGGCCACCAGTGCCACCAGTTTGAAAAAGCTATCCAATTAGTCCCAATTCCCCTGTACATCTTTTCTTCTGAAAAACTTATCCAGTTCTGAAAGATACCACTCAGCCTCTATTTCAAGTACTGCATTCCAGATCACAACTTCCTGCTCAAGTCTTCTCCACACCCTCACTAAGGCCCTCGTCAAGCTCAGTTCACTGAGTATTAACTGGCAATCAAGCCAAGAGAATTTTACCCTTCTGGGAAACTAATGAGTCTTCTACCACCACGTGACAGCAACTTGATAAGCGTACGCATCAATGTATAGTCTGTACACAAAATGCTTCTTTTGGGCAACATCTGCAAACGGAATAGGAAACACAGTCAAACTGAAAACCCAACACAGCCAAAACAGAAACATACTTGGCAGGAGTTCAATGAGTTTCAGCTCCCAGCTGCAGCTCAAGGGGTAGCACTCCAGCCTCAAATACAAAGACACAGTACATTACTGAGGGAAAGCTGCACTATTAGAGGGACTATCTTGTGAATGAAACATTAAATCAAGGCCCCTTCTGGTCCTCAGGTGGACATAAAGATCTCTTTGCACTATTTCAAGTAACGGAAGGGGATATATCCTCAGTCAATATTCATCATCCAACAATCATTACCATACTGATTGACTATCAGACATTGCTAGTTTAGTGATCTCACTTAATCTCATTTCCTACAGTACAGCTGCAAATGCACGTTATACTTACACAGACTTAAGTTATATTTAACTAAGTACTTCATTGGCAATGAGACAAGATGAATGCCAGTCTTTCTTAATTTTAACCATGCCATGCTGCCATGTTATAGAAGTGGTTAGTCACTTTGGTCTCCCCCACGGAATTTGTTACAAACGTGCAGATTAAACCCATCGGGTTTTTCTGTGATAAAAAGCAACACCGAGTCACTGTTGAGTACTGAGCCTCTCACTTCGGGTAGGGGTAAGTGATGTTCCTTTGCACCGAGGTGACTTTCCACCTGCACACCCTGCAGCATTACCTTTACATTGAGCCTCCTCCTGGGGTGTTGCGACCTGATGACATATTCCTTCTGCCAGATGTGTGCCCGTGACTACAACATGGAGTGGGCAAGTCCTCAGAACTTCCATTTGTATCTGATTGAGGTTTGCAGCAGGTTGCCTCGCACTGGAGCTCTCTGCCAGAGGGAACTGGCAGCTGCCGTAAGAAAGCTGATGGAGGATGGGCCTCGGGATGCTGGGGATGTGTTGGATGATGGAGAAGTAGGCTGACTGACTTTAGCACAATTGGCTGTGAGGGCCTCTGTTAACATCCAATATATGGGCCATGCCATCCTGGGACTCGTGACTGTGTTACCCTGCCCTGACAATGCTGCAGGGAATTGAGGTGTGGCGTGCAGTGAGTTTCTGGACAAACTGACCCCTGTCTACGGACCTTGACATTGACGCCATGCACCAGACCCTTTCCCAAGGTGCAGCCTCCATGATTTATAGTCATACAGCTGTACAGCACGGCAACAGACCCTTCAGTCCAACTCATCTATGCCGACCAATTATCCTAAATTGATCCAGTCCCGTTTGCCAGCATTTGGCCCATATCCCTCTAAACTCTTCCTATTCACGTACCCATCCAGACACCTTTTAAATGTTGTAATTGTACCAGCCTCCACCACTTCTTTTGGCAGCTAGTTCCACACACGCATCACTATGTGAATAAATTGCCCCTTAGGTCCCTTTTAAATCTTTCCACTCTCACCTTAGACCTATACCCTCTGGTTTTGGATTTTGCTACCTTAGGGAAAAGACCTTGGCTATTTACCCTATCCATGTCCCTCATGATTTCATAAAGCTCTATAAGGTCACCCCTCAGCCTCCGACGCTGCAGGGAAAATAGCCCCAGTCTATTCAGCCTCTCCCTACAACTCAAACCCTCCAACCCTGGCAACTTCCTTGTAAATTTTTCTGAATCCTTTCAGGTTTCGCAACATCCTTCCTATAACAGGGAGACCAGAACTGAATATAGTATTCCAATCGTGGCCTAACCAATGTCCAGTACAGTTGCAACATGACCTTCCAACTCCTATATTCAATGCACTGAACAATAAAGGCAGGTGTACCAAATGCCTTCTTCACTATCCTGTTTACTGGAGACTCCACTTTCAAGGAACTATGAATGTATAGTCCAAGGTCTCTTTGTTCAATCTGAAATGTCTCAAGGCAATTCTCTCTGTACCCTTCCTAACAGCACCGAGAAGTTACCTGCATAGGCTGGTGCTGCACATGTTCCACTTCCTCACTTCTGTCCACTGTCTGGATAGCCCTTAGTGTGACATTCTACATCTGGTGGTGGAGGTCACTGGTGGAGGTCCCTCTACAAGGGGGTCTTCCCTCTTCCCAGCGGGGTTGCGGATGGACAGTGCTGCACGTTGCAGTTCCAAGCAACAGAAGGTTAAATTCATTCACCCGGTACCAGGCCACTTGCAGTTTTTGTGGCCTGGAGGAAACTGTGTTTCATAATTATGGTGAATGTTTTCATTTGCAGCTTGTTTAGTTTCTTAAAAGGATTGCTTTTAAATTGCTGGTTGCACTTCAGCCCCACGCTCCTGGTTTATTGGCACCCTGTTTGGAGGAGGGTGGGCAGATCAGAGGGCCTTCTTGGGGGCCTGGTTAAATTGGCCATCAATAGGTCCAGGCAGCAGATGTGGACGGGTCGTAGCACTTGAGTGTGTGCTCCATTTCATGGTTACATCCACACTCGAGTGTACGTTGAGAGGGAACCTGCAGTCAATATAAATCTCTCTGCTGGTTACAGCCATACTTATCACAAAGGTGGCAGATGTGCTTGGAAGTCAATCATCTCAGCTCCAAGGCATCTTTGCAGGAGTTCCTCAGAGTGGTCTCCCTAGCCCAACAATCTTCAGCTGCTTCGTCAATTACCTTTTCTCTCACAGAAGCTCAGTAAGTAGGGATTCTTACCGATGAATGCACAATGTTTGGCACCATTCATAATGACTCAAATACTGAAACAGTCCATGTACAAATGCAACAAGACCTGGACAACATCTAGGCTTGAGCTGATAAGTGACAAATAGCAGTTGTGCGACACAAGTGCCAGGTAATGACCATCTCCAACAAGAAAGAAACTAGCCACTATCCTTTGACACTCAGTGGAATTACCATTGCTAAATCGCCCACTATCAGCATCCTGGTGGTCACCATTGACCAGAAACTGAACTAGACTAGCCATACAAATAGAGGCTACAAGAGCAGGTAACACATTAGGAAACAACTCAGTTTCTGACTCCTCAAAGCTTGTCCACCATCTACAAGTCAGAAGTGTGATAGACTACAACCCACGTGTCCAGATGAGTGGAGCTCCAATTACCCTTAAAGAGGTTGACACCATCCAGGACAAAACAGATCTGCTTGATTGGCACAACAACCACAAACATTTATTCCCTCCACCACCCACACACATTGGCAGTGTGCACCATCCACAAAATGCAATGCAACAACTTACTAAATTTCCATCAACTGTAGCTTCCAAACCTTTGAAGACTACCATCTACAAGGGCAGCAAATATGTGGGAACATTAGCACCTGAAATTCCCCTCCAAGTCACACACACACTGGTTTGGAAATATATTACTGTTCTCTCAGTGTTGCTGGATCAAAATCATGGAACTTTCTCTTAATAGCAGTGTGGGTGCCCTACACCTCAAGGACTGCACATTTCCAGAGGGTAGCTTACCACCTTCCAAAGGGTAATTAGGGATGGGCAACAAATGCTGGCTTAGCCAGTGATGCCACAACCCACAAAAAAAAATTTAAAAAGCTGTGTTTTCATATTGCAGCAGCTAATGTATTTTGCTTTTGCAAAATCCTAGCTTTGAGATTTTCAGTGGACCTCCTGGCCTTAACAGCCTTTGCAGAAGTGAACAGTCTGTGTGAACGACCACTCCCTGACATCAGCCTGGAACAGCCTGATTATAATTGTAAGGTTTATCACCTTGTTCTGGACTCCTCCAGCAGTTTCCCTCTATCTCCCCTATCAAATCAGTGGTTAGCACGGCTGCCTCACAGTACCAGGGATCTGGGTTCAATTCCATCCTCTGCGAACTGTCTGTGTGGAGTTTGCACATTCTCACCGTGTCTGCATGGATTTTCTCAGGGTGCTCTGGTTACCTCACACAGTCAAAACATGTGCAGGTTAGGTGGATTGGCTATGCTAAACTGCCCATTTTGTCCAGGGATGTACAGACCAGGTGGATTAGCTATGGAAAATGCAGGATTACTGGGATCGGGTAGTAGGGTGGGTCTGGTGCGATGTTCTTCAGAGGTTGGGTGTGGAACTGGGCCGAATGGCCTGCTTCCACAATATAGGGATTCTATGAAATCTCTAATCATCTCTAGCACCTCAATTAGGTCACACTTTAATCATCAATGCTCTAGACAAACACAGTCTATCTAAAAACCCTCATCATCTAACCTTTACAGTCCTGGTATCAGTCTAATCAACCTTCACTGCATCCCCTTTAAGACAATATGCCATTTCTGAGGTGTGATTTTCGTTCAATCCCAGAAATGAATGCAGTTACTCCAGACTGCATGGAGTCCTGGAGCTTTATATAAACTCAACACTCATGGGAATCTCTTGTCCAAACTGGAGAAGATACATCATGAAGGTGCCAAACACTTTGAGCATCTCCAACAGGATTAGATGATGGCCAAGTGCCAACAGTGGAATGAGTGTGTGAAACCTAAGCATAACACCTGACCACCTCCAAAAACACCAATGGCAGGATGCACAGATCCAGCACTGGACTCTTTAGTGACCACAGGACGTTCAACTCCAGACAGGAAGCAAGTTATTCTTGATCCTGAAGAACTGGCAAGGTAACAAGCTATAATTTCATATTCAACTGCTTCATAATCCAGCATTCAAGATAACAGCCAAGATTCCAGGCTGCTCTTAATTACGTTCTGGTCTTGTCTGCTTACTTTCAGTAATTTGCGCATTTGGACCCCTAACTCACTCTGCTCCTCCACAGTTCCCACCAACTTTAACTTTAGAAAATACTCTGCTCATTGTTTATGTCCTGAGTGGATGACCTCTCACCTCCCCCACACTGAATTCCATCTGCCACAGCTTTGCCCACTCACTTAACTCATTCATGACCTTTTGCAACTCTCTGCTCCCAACTACAATGGTTATTGTGCCACCTTAATTTAGTGTTGCCAAAGAATGTAAATGCTTTCTAATCTAAGAGCCAAGTCATGTATTGTGAAAACTTCAAGGTTCCATTTCAGACTGCTGAGAAACACCAGGGGTCACACCCCTCCAACAGTGCTTAACACTTTCAATTCTGAAATTACACATCATCATTAACTCACCAGCATCTAGCAACATTTCGAACAGTGTATCCCCCGCCTCCCATCACCAGTAGAGGAATGTTGAAGCTTTTCACAAACTCAACACAATCCCTGCAAAACACAAAAATTACATTAACAATGCACAAACTCAAGTTCACTTCTCTACCGTTAATGTTTCAACATTAGAGAAACAGGAGGATGCTATTCAATTCAGATCATGGTTGATCTACATCTTAACCCCATCAAGCCAGCTTGGTTTTGTAACCATCAATAGCCTCTCTCAAATATATAAAACATCTCCATTTTGAAATTTGCAACCAAATCTCAGCTCAAGACAGCTTTTTATCTACTGCATCCAAATTATTTTTAAAAAATTTCGAGGTAAAGTTTTCTGAAAGCAAAGTTTTGTAAAAGAAAAGTTTAGTACATCAATACCATACTAGATTATGAGTCTAAAGTCAGAGGAATATGATTAGTGTGCTAACTGAAAGGTGCTTCCCCACAGAACCCAAACAATAAGTATTCTTGTTTGCAAAGTAGCTGTAAAGCAGAAAAATTTACATCCAATGAGTGGGCTGGCTTTCAGCTGGCTGTGTTGTGAGAATGACACAGTAGAACGCTGGGAGTGTGACGGGTATTCACAGATGCTGTCAAAAGGACTGCATTGGGACAATTTGATGTAAGCTAAACGTCACCCATGGCTCAGCAGGAGGCAACGCCCTTAAGCTAATGGCCGTGGGCTTCCACAGCGATCTGAATATAATATCGAGGCTGATGTCCCCAGGGTCAGCACAGGGAAATTAGTGCAGTGTCAGTGTTACTGCAGCTCAGATAAACCTTCAGACTGAGGCTCCCTCTATTTTAAAGAGCAGGAGAGTTTGCCATTGAACCCTGGGGCTAATATTTCATCCTCAACCAACGTCACTATAACAGATTATTTCATCATGCTGTTGCCACGTGGGATCTTGTTCTGTACATTACTGATTCCACAGTAACTACACCATCCCAATTTGAGACATCCTGAAGTCACAAAGATGTTACATAAATACAAATCTTTCTTCAATGTGAATACTTTGCCATTCAGATTGCTATCCAGGACAATTTGTGCCAGGAATCAGCAGCACAGATAGACTGCAGAGCAGCAGCAAAATACTGTCACATCCAGGAAATCACAGCTTAGTAAAGTATGCAATGTATTTTTTTACAACCACAGAAGCAACTAGACGAAAACACAAGATTCATCTAGTTTGCCCTCTACCATTCTGTTAGCTGCATGACAATGGAACTGCTGACTCAGATATCAGATAAGGCATGTTAAAGCCACTGGTTGTCAGTATAAAGCAATGTCTTGTCAGGTTAGGCATGATGCAAGAAAGTTCTATTTTACCCATGTCCTTTTATACTGAGATTGAAGCAACCGAGACGATCACAGCCGAGAGAATCTGCACCACACTGGAAAAATAAATGAACAACATCAGACAGAGGCAAGTAAAGCAATGAGGACAACTGCATTTATACAGCAGTTTTAACATAGTAAAAACAAAAGCATGTCAGAGATGCATTATCAAACAAGGTACAACACTAAACTACAGGAGTGCAGGGAGACAGTAGAATCGCAGTTTAGTCAGGGAGTACATTCTCAAATTTTACTGAATAAGTTCTTTTTATAAAATTTAGTGCAGCACATTTGCATCTAACATCTTAAATAAATTCACTCATAGGAGATATCTAATCAAGCTCTCTGCTGGAGAGAAAGTGAGATCAGCCAATTAGGTAACTGTCTTAAAAGGTTCTATAATACCCAGAGAGCAGACACATCTGGAGCTAGCAGTATGGGCGAGACAGCTTTTGAGTAGCGTGCAGTGTGGAATCAATGAGAGTTTGATAAATAAGTGAGAATGGTGCTTTCTCCTTTTTCTATTTCTGGCAGCCTCCAGGAGTACAGGAACTGAAACAACAAGAGAGGGCCGAGTTTGAAAAAAAAAACTTGAGTGACGTCTCAGGACCACAACTTCATTAACTATATACAAAGTTCGAAATTAATAATACAAAAGAGAGATTAGATGCTCCTGTGACGCAGTGGTACTGTCCCTGCTTCTGAGCCAGGACAACTGCTCTAGAGGTGTGATATAACACGTCTGAACAGGCCAATGAAAAATATCTACAAAAGATTGTGTTAGGGCAGGGCCATTATAGAATGGACATAGACACTTCACACGACCCAAATTAAGAGGTGTTCAGGAAGTTTCACAACAGCTGGGACTGAGTTCCTTGCAGTGCACTTTGCCAGTAGCATTGAACTAACTCTGAAAGACGAGTCGGAACCAGGACAGAATATTAGCGAATAATACCAGGGTGTATGAAATATTGTGAGAGATAGGCAGCACTAGAATAGAGAATAGTGAGTTAACAACTAATGTGAATGCATTGAATAAAGTAAGAAAGCTTGCTGAATTACAAGTGCTGATTGCAATGCGGCATTATGATTTTGTATTGATTACAGAGACCAGGCTGTAGGAATGGCAGCATTTTACATTTAACATTCTTTGTTACAAGATGCTTAGAAAACATAGGAAAGGAAAGAAAGTGCTATTGGTTAAGGAGAGAATTGCAGTGCTAGGAAAAGATTCTGTCTCGGGAGTTCAAAGGCAAAAATCGATTTGGCTGGAGTTAAGGAACAAGACGATTAATTATGTTAGTCGGTGATGAGCGTGAAGGATGTAGAGGGACAAATCTTCAAGAAAATTACAAAGAATTGCAAGAATTACAAGGCAGTTATAATGGGGAAATTTAATTACCTGAATATAGACTGGGGCAGTGGTATTGTTAAGGGTAGGGAGGGGTAAGTGTTTTAGATTGGGTTCAGAAAAATTTTCTACAAGAGTATCTGTGCAGTCCAACAAAAAGACAGTGCTAGACCTGGCTCAAAACTACAAAATAGGCCAAGTGGGTCAGGTGTTAGTGGGTGAACATTTTAGCAATAGTAACCATTGTCGATCAAGAATAAGGATAATGGTCGAAACTGATTATGGTCAATCCAGAATAAGAATAATCAATTGGGCAAGTGCCGTTCAATGGTACAAAGTGGAGCTGGGTTCAATAGATAAAGGTTGGTTGGGAAAACTGCAGAACAACAGACGATCTTCAATTGAGAGATTGCTCAGACAGAGACAAGATATACTCCCTTAAAAGAGAAGGGTACAAAAAATCCAGCACTTGCTTCAATGAAAAAGATGGTACGAAGTAAGAAAAGTGTGCTTGTGATGGTTGTCAGGTAGAAAATACAATTCGGATCCAGGCTGAGCACAAATGTTCAGAAGGAAAGAGGAAATATGAAAAGAAAAACTGGCAGCTAACATAACAAGGAGTCCCAAAGTCTTCTATAGGCACATAAATAGCAAAATCATGCAAATCTTCTTTTTTTATGCCTACTCCTATCACTACCTTTTACTGTTTATGTACCTATGAAAGATTTTGATATTCCTTGCTGTGTTCCAGGAATGGGAAACTGCAGTTATGAGAATCCTTTGAAAGAAGAAAACCAAGAGAAGAACTGACGGCAGATTTTAAAATTACGTGGGGGGAGGGGAACAAGGTAAAGAGGGGAAGATGATGCCACTCTTAAATGGATCAAGGAAAAGAGGACACAGATTTTAAAACAAAATCTCAAAAAAAATGAAAATGACATGAGAAGAAACTTTTTTACACGATGAGTAGTTAGGATCTGGAATGCACTGCTTGCAAGTGTGATAGAGGCAAACTCAATTGAGGCATTCAAGAGGGCACGAGATGATTATTTAAATAGAAATAATTGCCAGGGTTATGAAGAAAGGGTGGAAGGATAGCACTAAGTCAAGATCCTCATTCAGAGGACTGGTGCAAATATGACACGTCAAATGACCACGTTCTGCACTGTATCAATTCTACGATTATGAAGATAGTAGGGCAGATGAGGTAGGTTTTAGAGAGTCAAAGGAGAAAAGACTGGTGGGACAATTTTGGGAGGAAGTTCCAAACTCAAACTCAATTCGAACTCAAGTAGCTGTAGGCACTGATTCCACAGGCATGAAGTGAATTGAATAGATATCTTGGAGGTGATGACAGAGATAGAGGGGAGAGAGGTTATGGAAGGATTTGTGAACAAGGACAAGAATTATAAAATCAAGTCGTTGATTATCCATAATCTAATGTAGAACAGAGGTAGCAGGGATATGGAGTAAATTAAGGAATGTACAAGCGCTCTGGATAAGCCCAAATTTACAGTAGGGTGGAAGATTTGGAATTGATAACTCCAGAGTAGACAAAGTTATGAATTGGGATATCAACAGTATTTGAGTGGAGTCAGGGACAGGGTTGGGCGCTACTAGAGAGGTGAAAATAGGCAGTCTTAACAAGCAACAATTCAAAACTTAAGAGTTCCTAACTCATTGGAAAAATGCATCACCCAGACTGGCATTGAGTCAAACCATATAAGAATACATTTGATTCCACTTGACCCAAGCCTTTTAGTTTTGTTACATCCCTGATTACTGGATTTGCTGCCAAATGAAACAGTTTTGCAATTACTCCATTAAAACCCTCAAAACGATGATCAAATTTCACCTTACGCTTTCCATTTTTAAGGAGTACAAACACAGCCCCTGCACATAACGCAAGTTTTTCTTTACTGGTACTACTCTAGTACATTTCCTCTGCCACCTCTCCAAAGCCTGGTCACCCTTCACCACACAAGTGTGGTGTCCAGAATTGGATACAATACTCCAGCTAATGCCTTTATAAAAGTTGTGTGTAACCTCATAGCATTTTTTACTATATGCCTCTATTTAACAATCCAAGTATACTGTTTTTTTTTCATTTTTCCCCAAATGAAAGAAATAGCCTTTTCCATTTGCCCTATCTTCTTCAGGGGGAAACAGGTTTCCTTGATTCCGTACTACTTTTGCAACTCTAACAGCCATTACTGTGCAGCTGATTACAAACAGCATTCACTTCTGATTAAAGAATAATAAAAAGATCAGCTCAACCACCAATACTACCAGGCTGTCTCTATCCTTTTCTGTCCATTGATAATATAATATTAATACCAATAATATATTTCTGAGAAAATTGGTCGGAGAGACGGCGAGGCAACAAGCTAAGAATATAAGCATAAACTTACTTGCAGCACGATACATGTGGGCTGGTAGAAATCCACGACCTGTTTGATAACTGGTTGAAACAAGAGTCTGTAACCTGAAAGCCAATCAAAAAGACGAAAACTGCAAATCAGAACACAAGATCATCAGCTTTGCATTGTTGCTAAAGCAGGAGAAAAAAAAAGTGAATTGAGACAGGGATCAATAAAGATAGTTTTGATCACCTTCTGAAGTGATCTTGCAACTGTTCATAAGCCAGACTGAGGCCAGGGACAGATTGACAAAATGGGACCCAGATGGCTGCACACAAGTGCTTTTGTCTGATGCCAAGTGACAATCAGCCACGGACTCCCTGACTTCTTCAAATACCAACCGACTACCTTACATTTATTTTTTCAATGCTCTCGATTGCTGTACAGCACTCCTTTCAGAGTCCTTCTGACCGACTGGAGTGAAATCTGCCTTTCAGTCTACTGAATCCCACTCTTTACAAATACTAACCCCCATCATCCCCCATTAAAGCACACAGGTCTTGCACAGAAAGGTACAGCACAGGAAGAACCCGTCACAATTGCAATAACTCTCTCTTATCGTATTACTGCTATTGCTATGCTGCTTTCCCACAGCCCCGAGTAATCATCTCATTCCCTTTTGAACGTTTCGACTGAATCTGCCTCCTCCAATCTTTCAGGCAGTACATTCCATCTCTGAACAGCCATTCACCTGAAACATTAACTCTGGCAGGTGGGACTAAGTTTAATTTAGGATTACGTTCAGCATGGGCTGGTTGGACCGAAGGGTCTGTTTTCTTGCTGTATGACTCTATTGAAGCTACCTGTTGAGTATTTCCAGCATTTTCTGCTTTTAATGTTAATTTTCTTTTTGTTACAAAATGAATGCTACACCCAGTCAACATGTTCCAGCAGCAGACTGTATGTGAAAGAATAGCTCTTCATGTCTGTCCCCCAACTTGTTCTTCACACCCTTGAGACATTGCAGAAAATACAGAGGCATGGGATTGAGGGTGATTTAGCGGTTTGGATAAGAAATTGGCTAGCTGTAAGAAGACAGAGGGTGGTGGTTGATGGGAAATGTTCATCCCGGAGTTCAGTTACTAGTGGTGTACCTCAAGGATCTGTTTTGGGGCCACTGCTGTTTGTCATTTTTATAAATGACCTGGATGAGGGCGTAGAAGGATGGGTTAGTAAATTTGCGGATGACACCAAAGTCGGTGGAGTTGTGGAAAGTGCAGAAGGATGTTGCAGGTTACAGAGGGACATAGATAAGCTGCAGAGCTGGGCTGAGAGGTGGCAAATGGAGTTTAATGCGGAAAAGTGTGAGGTGATTCACTTTGGAAGGAGTAACAGGAATACAGAGTACTGGGCTAATGGTAAGATTCTTGGTAGTGTGGATGAGCAGAGAGATCTCGGTGTCCATGTGCATAGATCACTGAAAGTTGCCACCCAGGTTGATAGCGTTGTTAAGAAGGCGTACGGTATGTTAGGTTTTATTGGTAGAGGGATTGAGTTTCGGAGCCATGAGATCATGTTGCAGCTGTACAAAACTCTGGTGCGGCCGCACTTGGAGTATTGCGTACAGTTCTGGTCACCGCATTATAGGAAGGATGTGGAAGCATTGGAAAGGGTGCAGAGCAGATTTACCAGGATGTTGCCTGGTGTGGAGGGAAGGTCTTATGAGGAAAGGCTGAGGGTCTTGAGGCTGTTTTCGTTAGAGAGAAGAAGGTTAAGAGGTGACTTGATAGAGACATACAAGATGATCAGAGGATTAGATAGGGTGGACAGTGGGAGCCTTTTTCCTC